ACAGTTAGCTCATTTAGGATGGCCAGCTTTGAAGTGAGATGAAAAACTACCTTGTAAAAGTGAAGAACAAAAAGACTGGCTCATAACGTTCACTCTTCACACCACTTGAAAACAAGAGGGCAGATTGGGAGAATTGAAAAAAATAGGAATCAAATTATGAGAGAATTGATTTAAGTCTGAGATTTTAAGGTAATAGTCTGTAGAGGTAATTTAAAAGATTAGTTAAGGTCAAGCTCATGAGATACTTTGAATGCAAAAGATTACACTCATCAATGGCACAAAGAACATTTTAATTTTGTGCTTTTAAAGACCCATTTTAGTGTTCACACATGTAACCTAAATTACATTTGAAACCAGAATTCAGGGCCTAATTTGGAATTCGTTCTAAAGTTTCTAAACCTCAAACGTTAAAAAAACATTTCAAACACTCAAATATTCCTGAGCAAGTCGCACACAAACTGGAGACCACTTTTAGCCATCATTAAAGAAAAGACATTTAACCGCTTCTTATAAAAACGTAGGGCTCATTTAAAATCGGTTGCTTTCATACTTTCGAGTGAGGTTGCTTGGTATTATCCTGCTTTAATCACTCCATTGCGGGTGTGGGATCGTTTTGGAACACCCACTTGTGTTCAATTTTAACCTTGTAGCTGTTTAGTTCAGGTGAAGTTCAACACAGTAGGAGTGGAGATGCTACCTCAAACTCTAACCCCGTCTTCCTTGAGGATTGCTACAGAGTTCTTGGGACTTAAAGTGTCGTTTTGATTTCAGCAAACATTCTTCCCCATTGTGGCCAGAAAACACAATCTTGGTCCTGACTGACTGTAAAGAGTAGCTTTACAATCCATTTGTATTGGTATTGATTTTGCAACCAAAGTGGAGGCATGTAGCTTGTAGCTTGCATATTCTCCCTACGCATGAATTCTAGTTACTCTGGCTTTCTTCCAAGCATGTTAGCATAATTAGCATCTCTTCCCAACAGTGCACGGACAATGAAAGGGTGTATACAACCCTAACCCTAACCCTACCCTAATGGATTTCATTGATCAAGAGGTCAACCAATTTAAGTTTCTATGTTACTTCCAAATTTATATTATTCAAATATTAGTGTAGGTGTGTGTATTTTTTTTATCCTGTATGTTTGACTCTTTTAAAGTTATTTGGTGTACACTTATTTCATCCTCAAAGAACAACTCTTCAAGTGTGTAAAAATTATACTGCTCAAAAAAATAAAGGGAACATTTCACTTTAATTTTGTGTGTGGCTCCAAATCCAGGCCTCCATTGGTTAATAAATTTGATTTCCATTGATGATTTTTGTGTGATTTTGTTGTCAGCACATTCAACTTTGTACAGAACAAAGTATTCAATGAGAATATTTCATTCATTCAGATCTAGGATGTGTTATTTGAGTGTTCCCTTTATTTTTTGAGCTTTATATTTGTGCCCATGGCGAGTGTATGTAAACTTATGACTGGTCAGTCTTATTTCCATGTAGATCCCTATATCCAGCCCGTTGAAAGAGGTTTCACTGTTCACAGGGCGTGGTCAGGCGTAACCTGAGGCGTAAACAAATACTTCACAGGACTAAGACTAAATGCCGAGGCTATAGATCTTTAGGGAAGCAGTAATGTAAAGTGAGGATGATTTGTATCAAACCCGGTATGCATTCTGATGAAAATTTGTTCCGACAGAGTACTTCGGAAAGAATTCAGGTCAAAATTTTAGGTTTTTTTTTCTTTTTTTTTTTCTTTTTTCAAACTTGGCTTTGGACTCAAATGTTAAAATCCGTTAGTAAGTAAACAAGATTTTCTTAAAAACTAAATAATTTGTACTTAAAGAGACAATGTAAACTTCTGAAAAGAGAAACTTATCAGGTCCATGAAGAAAATGTTTCAGCTCCAACAAAATTAGAACTGAAACAATTAATAGAATTTATCTGATTATTCATGATTAATCAATTATTGAAATCATCTCCAACTAGTTTAGTAACTGATTAATTGTCAACTAGACTATACAGACTCAAAACAGCCTGCATAGTCCAGACTGGTGTAAAAAAAAAAAAAACATTCAGAGCAGTAATTAACCCAAAACTACACAAAAAATATACATTTGAAATTAAGATAAAAACACTTTTGTCTGCAAATATGTCTTAGCAAAAATTCCTCAGATGGACTAGCTTCACCTGGTTTAGATTTACTAAAGGTATGCTAGAGTACTGCATTTTAGGCAGTCAAATGTTTTTTCTTATTTAAAAACGAGAATTGAATTATTAATTTAATGTATTTTTAATATTGTAGTTAAATGAAAGGTATGTAGAATGTGCCATTTTTTTAATCCGGTAATCACCAGAATAATCGACAGGTTAATCAATTACTCAAATAATCGTTAGTTTCAGTCCTAAACAAAATACCACAAAGGGAACTCAGAGAACAAAGCAGGATATTGCGACAGATGCTGAGTCGGTAAAACATGTCCCTGCTGTATGACGTGTTCAAATCAAACTTGAAAGCAAAAAGAAATCTGACTTTTTTTGGATTGTTCTTTTCAGGAAGCGTCAAAAAGTAAAGTCAGAGAAAAACTTGCAACATTTGCTACATTTCTGCTTTGTCAGCGGAGTCCTGTCATGCCTGGGATACCTCCACAGTGAGCATGGAGGGCCATAGCATGCAAGGCAGAAATTATTTTGCTTATCATCCAAAGAATCGTTGGTCAACATAAAATGAAGTGCACTAAATTTTAACAAAATCTTTTTCCCACAATGTCTATGTTTTACCATTAAAAGCATATGAAGATATGGTACCTCTATGTTCAAACCAGACAAATGAGCTTTTCGCATTTAGCGCCACATCTTCCACCAGAGTACACACACATGCCACTGAACTCCATATTGCGATACGGTAAATCAAACATGTGGTGCTGGTGGGCAGCACTGATGAAGCCATTAGCAGTCATCAGCAACTCTGTGCACCAGCTCACTCACGCCACAGATAACGGCCTGCTGGAGCTCCACTATCCGACTTATCAAGAACCTTCCTGACATCTCACCCAACCACAGTAAACCAACGGCCACCTTTATCAACTCTGAACACCTTACTATGTGAAATATATTGCTTCATGGTCAAACTTCAAGCTTCAAGCAGTAATTAACCCAAAACTATACAAAAAATATACATTTTTTGTATATGTATACAAAAAATTTATATTTTTTGTATACAAAAAATATACAATATTACAAAAAATATATGTGTTCTTAATACGCATTGTATTAAGAACACAATGCGTTGCTGAATTGAGAAGTAGAGATTACACGATGCGTGGTTCTTGTTTGTATTTAGTCCCTTTTATTTACTCTGGTACCCCTTAATAAAATCCAGTGCAACCGCACTGTCCTCAAAAGTGACCTAGTTACACATCAGCCTGAACCTCACGATCTCCACTCTGACCCCACGGCGGTGGGAGAGTCCGGCTTTTGGGAGAGTTTTGAGCCACAGTGGCAGGGAAGAATACTTTTCAGATTTGTAATTGGAAAATACTTTTGAAAACCATCCATAATTTCCCTACCTCTTCACAATTTTACACTATACTGTGGACGATCACACACACAAAAACATTCCAATAAAATACGCTCAAGTTTTTGGTTGTAATGTGGAAAAGATTTCAAGGGGTGTGAATACCTTTGTGAGGTAATGTGCAGCGTTTTAGTATTACAGTGTATTTCTTCTGGAATAAATCAAATAATTAAAATACATGTTGCCCTTTTTCTCATTAAAGGAACGTGACAAAAAGAACCCCTCAAAGAGTAAAAAAAAAAAAAAAAAAAAGGATCGTAAAAGAATTCTAATTAAAAAAGAAGAAGAATTTCTAAAAGAGAACAGTCAGACAGCACTTTGTGGACTGAGTCAGAATGACGGCGCCTGTTTTGCTGGTCAGTCAGCACCATGGACAGAAGCCCCTGTGGCCACAATTTGACCTCTGGGGCCCCAGACCATCATCAAGCCAAGAGAAAACACTGGAAAGCTCACAGGCACAAATGAGAATCAGCCTATGTAGCTAATTTAGGTCTATTTACATAACCCATTGTGCATTGTCATTCCAATACAAATGACAAAATAAACAAAAACTGAGGAAACATTGATGTAAAATATGGGAATGAATGAGTAAGCTATGAAGTCCAAACACCAGTTGGCTTCTTTTTTTTTTTGTTTGTTTGTTTGTTTTTTTGTTTTTTTTTAATTGGGAGTAACAATTGAAGTCACTGCCGGACATTTTTCTGAGGAAGTTACTCAACATTATTTACTGCCTGGTTATGTAACTTCTCTATCTTAGTAAAGCTATTTAACATGATAAAATGCAACATGCTGAATCATGCTCTTTCACATGTCCTTTGGTTGAATTATTGCTTCTCTTTTACTGTGTTTTAAGCAGTATTGCAGCGGTTTAACTGAAGTACCCCCTCTCTGTGCTGAAGCAGCGTTTGGTCTCTTTAAATTCTAAATATAACCGCGTCTAAAGCTGATACCCAAACGTCCTAGCTAATGTGACGTTCACTGGCTGCCCCTGGGCTCCGTCAGGGCTCTGTGTATAAATGCAAGCCATCTAAAAGTTATAAACAAATGCGCCACATTCGTCAACATTTTGTTTAGTAGTTGCTTCTTATGTAATGGGTAAATTGATTACGTCATTCATAATGTAGGACACACTAAAAACGTTGAAAGTTTACTTTAGTTCGGTTGCTAATTAGAAAGCAAAACTTTGTTGTTCTGAAGCAACTCGCTGTTTGGGAAACTTCACCCTCTAAAGGTTTTCTAAAACCAAAAGAAAATGATATGAAGACAAACACAATATTTTCTTGCTCGTAGCGCTAGCTAAAAATACGTTGACGTTTTCGTTCCGAGTACTAATATCTCCCACAGCGCCTGAACTCAGCAGCTTACTTGCCAACGCTTGTTGTTCAAAGAAACAAGCAGAAAACTCCCACGAACTCCCACGAACACCCACCTTGTTGAGGTGGGGATTTCTGGTGACATCGTAGCCCTTCTTCTTGGTGTAAACGAACGTCTTCCCCTTGTCTTCGGATTTGTGCATCTCTGTTTCCACCGACTCTCGTCTGACCAGCCCGCGTGCCATCTTGTTGCCTCTTTAAATAGAGCCGCTCTGGTTGAACCGTTGGGAACTCAACAAGTGGATGCGCAGGTCCAGCCGCGTAGCTCTGGTCGCACGTCCGCTCCAGGGGGGTTAAAGAAGAGCAGGAGTCTCCTTATCAGTGGAGCTGTAAGGTCATGGTATGAGCAAAGTGTCAGCCTGCGTGGGGTGACCCAACAGGAGCCTATCACTAGCACTAAATGGTTACACACGAAACACCCTTGAATTGTTTGAATTATTTCAGCCCAGTGCAACAACATAATAATAAAAAAACACATTATTGTAATCAACAAGTTACTGTATTTAAAACCACATTCAATGTGGAACATTTGCTGTTCCATTCAAATTTGAAGCACAGGTCCTAAATTAAAATTAGCTAGTGCCTTAC